GCTGTACCGGGCAGGGCAGAGCTGGGTTGGGCTGTACCGGGCAGGGCTGCCCCGCCCTCCCGCCGCCTCCCAGCCCGGCCGGCCCCTCGCTCCGCCCGGCGGGGCTGTGGGGGGCTGTGGCGGTGCCGACACAGCCGGAGCCGGACCGGGCAGCACCGCGGGCTCTCCGCGGGCACCATGGGCCAGGACGGGCCGTGGCTCAACCTGTCCGGCAGCTCCTGTGCGGCGGGCGGGCCCTTCGCCGCGGGCACGGCCGCGCTGCTGGCCGCGCTCATGGGGCTGCTGGTGCTGGCCACGGTGCTGGGCAATGCCCTGGTCATCCTGGCCTTCGTGGTGGACCGGAGCCTCCGCACGCACGGAAACTTCTTCTTCCTCAACCTGGCCGTGGCCGACCTGCTGGTGGGTGAGTGCCGGGGCGCCGCGGGGCCGGGCTGCGGGTCCGCCCGTGTCACCGCCCTGCTCTGTCCGCAGGCGGCTTCTGCATCCCCCTCTACATCCCCTACGTGCTGACGGGCGAGTGGAGGCTCGGCCGGGGCTTGTGCAAGCTGTGGCTGGTGGTGGACTACCTGGTGTGCACCGCCTCCGTCTTCAACATCGTCCTGATCAGCTTCGACAGGTTCATCTGTGTCACCAGAGCGGTAAGGGCCGGCCAAGGGCTGCGGAGGGGGGGCAGGTTTTGCTTCGGGCGCCTGGCTCTCGACCCCCCGAACCTCTCTCAAACACCACACGCAGCAGGCAGTTCCCCTCGGTCCTGGAAATAGTTCTGGGAGCGATCGGCTTTGGCAGAAGATGCCTTTTGTTCTCACTTTTACAGGGGAAGAGGTGCTCTGCTTTAGAAACGGGCACAGGCTGTGTGTGCAGAGGGAACAGGGTGTACTTACTTCCTCCCCAGCTACACTTTGGATAAGCTTAGAAAGTGTTACTCAGCTGAACTAGTCCGGCTCCCTCAGAACACGGCAATGCACTTGTTGCCCACTGACAGCCCAAGCCAGCCCAGCTGCAGCACGAGGCAGAGAGAGCTCCCTGCAGTGGGTACCAAACTGCACCCGGGGCAATTAGGTGTGGACAGCTGGGTGGGGTTGAAAAGTGGCAGAATATGAATCAAGGTTAAGGATGCAAATGCTATTTCCATGTACCGGCCACAGGAACAGCTTGAGCAGTGCCTGCAGCCTGTCAGCCAGCAAAAAAAGGAAGACTAGACTTTGCAATATCAAAAGCCAGCTTCATTATCACCTAGACCATACTGCCTCAAAGTATCCTGGATGGTGCCAAAATAACACATTTTACCTAACAGGTTTCACACTTCCACACACACTTCTCAGTTATGTTTCACCCCATTCCACCCACATTTCCTTAAAATGTTCATTTCACTTCCTTGCTCATTCTAAATCACAAACAGTAAAAAGACAGGCTGCAGCATCAATTTAACAGTTTATATGCACCTTGGTGTTATACCAACTTCTTTTTGACGAGGGATAAATGAACAGATTAATTCTCAACAGTCAACACTCAGAATTCCTTTATTTTCTAGGTTCTGAATTAGCCATGAATTTTCTTTCATTAACCAACCTCTCATGACTGTGCACATAGTAAAAATATATAAACTAGATGGTTTCAGAAACAGAAAGGGAAACTGGTCAGAATAAATGAAAAAAATCATCCACTTGGAAATACTTCAAATTAACCCCTCATATAAAAATCTCTCCCCAAGCAAGAGTACAGAAAATGCCTGTTGGATTAGGGCAGTGTAAGAACATATGAACATCTGAAGTTCCAAATTATTCTCCCTCTCAGTGCAAATGCTAACTCCTAGAAGACTGTTCCTGAAATCATGAGTAGCTTTGTCAAGGATTGCAAAATCAGGCCCAATTCAGACAAACTCAGGATTCCTCAGCTGTGTGGCTCTTCTGCCAGAACAGCATTAGCTGTGGAGATGAAGATCCACAGATTGCGGTAGTAAATGTAAATCCTGGACAATCCAAGCTTGAGGACTTCATATTCCAAACACTGTGCAGTCACACTGGAGGTGTGAAGATTGAATTCCAAGTTACTGTATCAGTAACTCTGTCCAGTACACCAGGGAATGAGAATACTGAGAAGCAGATGATCTAAAGATTCTGATGAATTCTATTGCTGATATGGATTACTGACATACTATTTTTGCACCTTAGCTTCTCTATTTTCTAACAGAAATTACTCTTCCTGTAAAGCACTTTTCAGACCTCAGCACTCCATTTATACATCTTAACTGCAGATAGGAACTCTGCAAGTACTTCATGAAAGAATGAAATTAAGTATACCAAACAGGAAATAGATGCTATACATTGATTTTTTTGTGTATGATTTTCACATTAAGAAAAAAATCTCTCTCTACAAAGCAGAAAGAACTTGCAGGAGTGTTCTGTGAATACAAATCCTTTTACATATTTCAAATTAAGTTACTTAAAAATTCAAAATAAGTGAATTTTGGAGGGGTGTGTTTTTAACCATTCTGTAAACAGGTATCACAGCTAATGTGAAGCAACTGCTGACAACCAGTTCTAGGAATAGCAGTGGTTATTTGCTGTGAAACAGATTTGTTTTTCTAGCTTTTAAGATCTGATACATGTACTCAGAACTTATCCAGTCACCTTGATAACGTTTCTTGGAATGGATATTTTAGAAATAACTTTTCTGTGGTATTGGAAAGCTTGGTATAACCCTCCTTCCAAAACCACTCCGTCATCAACCCTCCCAACTGACAGAGAGGGCCACATTCCAAGGCAGCCTGTTTGACACACCTGTAATGTTTGTGACTTAACTTTTCTCTCTCAGGTCAGTTACAGGGCTCAGAAAGGGATGACCAGAAATGCAGTACTGAAGATGATGGCTGTATGGATTGCTGCTTTTCTTCTCTATGGTCCAGCCATTCTCAGTTGGGAGCACATTGCCCAAAAGAGCATCCTCCCTGAAGGAGAGTGTCATGCAGAATTTTTCTACAACTGGTATTTCCTGATGATTGCCTCTACCTTTGAATTCTTTACACCTTTTATCACTGTTACATACTTTAACTTAAGTATTTACCTCAACATCAGGAAACGTACATCCCTCAGAAACAAAAGCCTCTCACCTGGTCAAGAGAACTGTGAAATGAGCTTCCAGGGGAAGAAAAGGGAACACGCTGTATTTTTTGTGAAGCCAGCTAACAGAGACAAACACGAGAAGGCAGCAAGCAGCCTTCCTCCCCCAAGAAAGACTTCAAGGCTTCAAGCCTCAGCTGAGCGTGGGAGTTGCTCATTAAATCTGAAAGTCAGTCCCGACCTTCCACCCCTGCAGGTGGATGTGAAGATGAAGCCTCTTGGGAATGGTTTCTACAAAGCCACAGAAAGCAGCTGCAACGCCCCCAAAGTGGACTTTGCCAACACTGTGGCAAATAGATTGAGACTTTCCCGGGACAAAAGAGTAGCAAAGTCTCTGGCAATTATTGTCTGTGTGTTTGGTTTGTGCTGGGCTCCCTACACACTCCTGATGATCATCAGAGCAGCCTGCCATGGGCACTGTGTGCACTATTCCCTCTATGAGATTTCATTCTGGCTCCTGTGGGTGAATTCAGCCATTAACCCTGTTCTATACCCACTGTGTCACATGAGCTTTAGGAAAGCCTTTATAAAACTCCTGTGTCCAGGAAAGGCCAAAATTCACCCTCATATTTTTATGTGAGAAGTATGAAGGCTGACAATTGGGCCAACTTGCTTTTGGTGGGAGCACCAAAAGGCAAGTATTGCAATACTTGCAAATATGAAGTGCACTGGGTATTTTATGGAACACTGGTAAGTCCATGCAAGTGTAGACATTTATGAATATACAGAAATACAGTCATCCATGTAGCTGCAGAAATTACAGGAATGCAAAGTCATTTCTCAAAGCTCCCTGGGAAATTACACCAACAGTGTATTTTCTGGTAATGGTGCACTAGCATAGAAATGCTGAAAACGGAATACAACATTCATGGCCAATAATTAGAGTCACTTTTAATAACTGTAAATATTGCTGGTAAGGAATTCCATGAAGTATTAATCTGGGATCAGTGATATCTTACCCCAAAACCCCTCTAAGACACCAAGGGGCTCAGTTGTTAAGTGTTGGAATCTACTCTAGTGAAAAGCCTTCTCCATACAGGACTCAGGGGCATTACTCTATGTTTTGCTGTTAAGGATAGAGTAAGCCTAAGTAGTCTGTGAGATCTATGACAGACAGATCTTGTTATAGACAGAGCTTTAGGTAAACTGCCCTTAGAGTAATTTTTAAAACACTTTTAACCGAACTTTTACTAGTTCTGGTTAGTCCTGAAAGAAAAAAAGCCTTGTTTTCCCCTACCCTACCCCTTGGATCTCTCCATCCATCCATCCATTCATCCACCAAGTCATCAGTGGTCAAAAAAGTATTATGTGAGGTGTTTAGGCATTTCCCAGGTCATGCATCATGAATGGCATGGCTCAAAGCCTGTTCAGATCTACAGCCTTGCTACTGACCCTAAGTGTGCAAAACAAGAACAAACATAATTACATACTGTTCCTGCCATTCTGCCTGTGCCCCAGGACAAGCTCACACAGCTAGTTCCTGAGTTCTGACTGGATTTGTCCCATAAAAGGTGTCAATTTGAACTTCACTAATGATACAAGTTTGTACCACTGTCACTGGCACTCACTCCATAACCTGACAGATGCTTTCCTTTGCTGACAAGTGAGAGCTATTGAACAGCTGTAGTTGTCCATTGCCACAGGCAAAATGTATGTCAGTACAATTGATCTTAAAGTTTACAGGCAGTATTTTGAAATTGTTTACTTTGTAAAATTTCAATAAAGGTAATTAAGAGCTGTGGAAGAGTCATGACTTCATAGCCCTAACAAGTGGGAGATGGGGAGAAAGCACCTGTCTACAACATCTGGGTAACTGCATTTGATACCACAAAACTTATTGCAAAGACAATTCCTAATTTACAGGGACTGACACTGAGGATTAAACAAACATGGTTAGCAAGTCCTATAAACTAGGATGGCATATCCCTACACTATGAATGTATCTACATGAACGTGATCATAATGTTGGCTATGATGTGCTGAAACAAAACAGCTTAACAGTTCCCTTCAGAGGAACAGCATCAACAGATACAGAGCAACATTAAGATTTTTGAAGTAGCATTAATTGTACCCCTGGGCAAGTAAAGCCCTTAGATTATCTCCCCATTCCTCTTCCCCTCCAAGCCAGACTTATTCATCAGTATATCAGTTATCCAATTGTTGTCTACTCTGCAATTCTTGTTTCCTAGGATCTTACTTGCCTTTTTCAGAACACAGGTAGCACTAAATTACTGACCAGTCACACCAAAGTCTCATTTACTATCCAGTCAAGCCAGGACACATTTTTAGTGGTCACTCAAGGAGTAAGGCAATTCAATCAGTTATCTTTAGAACACTGTGTTCAGTAAAGGTAAACCAGCCGTGTCAAAACTTACAGCAACTGGCACTAACCCACAGACAGACCAGTTTCACAGGAGCTGTCACTGGCACTTGCTCCATGCTTAGTTTCCTACAGCATTGCAGTTTAATTGCCACTTATCTCTCTAGCACAGAATCCAGGAGGATTCTTTACCCCTCAAGGTATGTCATAAAAGCACTCTGAAACATGAGCACACATCAGCACAGCATCACTTGGAAAAATACTGGTCTGAATGATAAACTTCTAATTGCAAGTGCCAGCAGCCTCCCAGCTTGTCCTGGTTAACTTGCCTTGATTCTTCTGTCCCTACAAAGCAGAAGTTCTTTCACTCTTATCAAAAGGTTCAACATTAGCTTTGGGTTCAACAGTGGGCTCCGAAGAGACATGAAACAACAGGTGTTAATAGCAACTTTATTGTTCCACTGGTGCAAAATCATGATACTGAATAAACTTGTGTAATGCATTTTCCCCTAAATTTACAGTAATGAAGGTTATACATATCTATATAGATTGCAATTTCTCTATTTTTTATACTATTTGGAACAAAATTATCTTGATAAATATGCCCTGTGCACAGTACTGGCCCTCACTGAATGTCACAGAGCCTTAATATGCAAAATATAACTTCTGTTTTTGAACATGGTACTTTAAAACTCTCCAAACATGCATTAATATATTCTAGTTTTTAGGGAAAAATATTACACTTAGTCTTAACTTGCATTAAAAGGAAAGCACAAGCAGAATTTGACATACAATAATCCCAAAAATCTGATGCTCTGTAAGGACCGGACACAGTTTCAGATGACAGTCACTGCCAGTTTAGAGCTCTAGTGCTACAGAAGCAACAGTGAACAGACAGAAGAGAAATCAGAACCGAAGAGCCCTACCATGTCACATGGATTTCAAAGGAAGTTTCAGCCATGCTAACTGATCAAACCTGTAGTTGCTGGTCCAACCTTTCAAATTTGTTAGAGTACTCAACACGAGTGGTTTGAAGTGCCAGACTGAACACATGAATGTTAACTTAACTTGACATTTCTGAAAGGCACAACCTAGGAATCTATCTTAAAAAAAACCCAAACATACAGTATGTAAATGAAAACAGGTACAGTGAGTGTCTACCTAAAGAACAAGACCTTCATAAATTGGCCCCTCAGATTCTGGTGATTCCCTCCTCAGACGCAAGTGCTCCAGTGTGTTGTGAAAGTGTTTGTTAATTTGTTCTGTTTCTTCAGTAGACTCAAGGTTTGGGAGATCTTCTCTGATCTTCTGTATAAGCTGATTCAAAACCTGAATTGTCACCTACAGAACACAGAACAGGAGTCATCAACATCACCTGTGTACAAGTGCATAGACAGTAGTTTTAAGAGACTCGTCTCTGAACTATTTGCATGGGACAGTTCTTCAAAATATTGGTAAGACTGTATGCAGACAAACTCTCGGGGGCTGCCTTCTCTTGTTCCTCACAGAACCTTTCCAATTTCAGTTTTGTGGAAGTTCTCCCATCCAAGCAAATGTAAAGAACTCAAATATTTATCCTGATAGCTTTGTAACTGCTACCACAGCATTTCTTTCCAATGTATTCAATGCAAATTTAAAAAGCTATAAACAAATGATGCACATAATCAGACTGTCTATGCACTCTTAATTGTTTTTGTACAGTCAATATGGTAATGTCATCTAAGCATCTCATCTAAGTCCCAGCAAGTTCTGTAATAATATACATTTCAGGTATCCAAGTCTCACAATATTTAAGTTCATAACTAAAATCCAAACATTTGGCATTTTCCCCCCATATAAGAAGAATGAAGTCTAATCCACAGTTTTACTTGTATATCAAGAATTGACTACTCTGTTTTTTAACCACCAGAACCTGTGCCTCTCATGAGAAACTACAGGGCAAGCTGAAGAGACATAATTTGGGGATAAGCGTGAATAAAGATCTTAAAGAAATGTTGTTTAAAAGAGGCAACAGAGAACGGATTTCTACTCACCGCCTCATTTTCCTTTTCATAAAAATAGATATATCTATTCAGAATTTCTATGAAGAGCTGGACCTGGAGAGAAGGGTCCATGCACTGATTTGCTATCTTCAGAGCCTTCTTTAGGCATTCCATCACTCTTTTTCCTCCGTGAAGCTAGAAGGAAGAATCCAAGTTAGGAGAAATAAAAGAACTTTAAGAAGCTCCAGTATCTCTTCCCTTGGCAACATATGGCATCTCCTGAGGGTCTGCCACAGAAACACAAAACTACACAAACTGTGCAGAGCAAGCTGTCATTGAAAGCTTTCCTTGCCTGACTGCCACCAGTATTAGACTTTTTTAAAACCAGACAGTAACATGAACAGTTGTTGAGAGCCTTCAATCATGAGATCAATTAACTCAAGTTTGTAACATGTACCATAAGGCATACTTTGAGAAACATGTTTCAAACACTGCTCTTTATAATGACAACAGCTTATGTGACAAGACCTGAAGAACAACAGCACTTTTTTTTTACCTTTACCTTCAACAATTTGTATCTTTAATGGAAGTTTAGTAGTTCACATGCAAGCACAGCTGCTGTAATACACACATGCAAAATGGAGCCTGTCTTAAACCAGCTGACACTCAAAAGCTTGCCTGGTACTTCTACCTTTAAATTAGAATTTTCTCCCTTTTGGTATTTACACAGTTCACACTGCACTGAGATTTAAAAACTTCATATATGAGCATATATTCCAACCAAATCTATATCACTGATATACCTACTTTAGAAGTGTCTTCAGAAGAAAGGCAGAGCTATTACTGAGGTAGGATGTGCTACACTGTTGTCACTTTGTTCTTACCTCCTCTCCATTCTTGTCAGTATTCCGGCCAGACCAAAACAGATGGGCACAAGTGCTCACAGCCCGGCACTGGTCTGGCTTTTTCAGGAGTTTAGAGGCTGCCAGTGCACACTGAGTCCTCAAAGGCTCGTGGTTCTCCTCACTGAAGCACTTCATCCTCTCAAATGTTCCAATTATCAAGGTGATTGCAGCCAGCTGTGCTTTTGAGTCACTGATTTCATCTTCATATAGAGAGAAGGCCTAGTCAAGGGAGAAAGTAAGACTCAATCAGAACACATCAGGAAAAAAAAAATCACAGTGGCACAGCAGGAAACTGTCCAGTTTTACATTTGTTCAAAGCTTCAGGCAGGAAAAAAGATCTTTCATTTAGAATGTTAAAATCAAGTTAAATCCA